GATTTTGGCAAGGAATGATGAAGTACAATAGCTACTGACAAAATTATATTTGATTTGAAAATGTCTTTAAAACCTAATGTACCAACTTTCTTCTGATCACAGCATAGAAGTATTGAAATACAGAAGCACCTGTGTTGATAAAAATAAAGTACAGATAAAAAATATCAAAATCTAATTACTTCTAAGGATTTTGTTCATGTACTTATCTCAAAAAACTCATTTACTATCATCCTGCTCCTTAACACTTAATTAAAAGCTTGTAAGAAAATATATAGGTGTTTGCCATATGTTCTTAATGTCATCATCACTTTTGGGCCTGGGGAATAGGTGGAAAAAAACATTCTGAAGTTAAGAGACCACAACTAAAAATAGTCCAGTTAGGTAAAATGGAACGTTAGTTCAGAAACGTTTTTTGATTACAAATACCTGAATAAGAAGTGATCTCTCTGGCAGACAGATATGAACTACTTAAGTTTTTACAATTCAAGAGCTGTTTGAGCATCACTTTAAAATATACTGCCAGGCAGTGCAGATCATAAAACTCACTTGTACATTCTAACAGTGAAATATCAGTGTGGCTTCACAATGCCTTAAGTTCAGGCTGATCTGCCCAGGTATGCAATTCCAAATACTGTCCTCTGCATCAACTGTACTCTTGAGAACAGAGAAAGCCTAATTTATATTTTGATTACAATATTCCACTTAGAATGGAAGCTCTTTCCACACTTTGATCCACTGATGACACTGAAAGCACCTGACTGTATTTATCAAGATTTTCTATTTCTCAAGCTGGTCTATTTCTCATTCTACCCTAAACCTCCATCTCATGCCAGCAGCCAGCTCTGGACACCCCTCCCCATCTCTCTGTACTCCACAATCTGCATTTCACCATTGCTGTTTCTTCCTTCTTTTTCTCAGGCTCCACTCTCCTTCCCAGCAGGAAGATGCTTTAAGACTTTGCAGAACCACAGTGGCCCTACAGGTGGGGCATGTCTTTGTTCCCAGTGGTTCTCTCCTGCCTGAAATTATTTTCCATTAAGTGCATTTTGAAAGGTTTTAGCCCAAGATCACACTTATACAGAAATTACCACCCCTGACTCTAAATTCATACGGTATTTAAAAAAATAGAACTTTAACTCTTAATACTTAAAACAGAAAAGTTGAGAGAATTCTGTTTTGGGATTATTTGTTAAAAAGGAACCTATTCCATTTCTAGGTTAAAAAATTGATCCCTTACCTTTTTCCTGCATTCAAACACTGTATTTGCCAAGTCTTCCTGCATCACACATACCTTTGCCTTAAGAAGTCTGATTTGAGCTTCTGTGAACATAAAAGGTTACATTTAATATACATAAGTACTCGTTATTCAATGCAGGCAAGAACCAAAACTGATGCAAGAACTCACTTTCATCTTCTTGCATTTAAAACCACATGACAATGTTTATAATTATTGAAGAGAAATAGGCAAATAAAAACTCCTATTTCTAAAAAAGTGTTTGCAGATTTCTCATTCTTAGGCAAAGCTTTGTATAGATTTTTTTCCTTTTAATGACTGACCTTGACATCTTTAAATTGTAAAAGACTCATGATGCTCAACATTGAAACTTACTGAAAACTTGCATCATACCATGCTGTACATGGAGTACTTCTTGAGTTTGAAGTCAACAAAACTAGGGCATGTCTCTATTGCAATCCAGATGGAGTTAAAACTTCTGTAGTTACAGCCAAAGTCATTTTAACCTGTGCACAACAAGGAGTTTGATGTAGGCTGCAAACCCCTCCTAACATGTAAATATCCCTCCCACACAGTACTCTACGCTTTTTAAAAGTACACTGCTAACATTCTTCAATTTATAGTTTAAAATTGAATCAATGTAATCAGATATTTTTTCCAAAAGACATACTGTCTTGCTCTTGGACAGCTAAGAAATGGACTGACAAAACAAGCTGTGTGGGAACAGTCTGTTCTCATACTTCCTATTCCCCAGATCATTCACAAGGAACTTCCTCTGGACTTCTACAAGCATGCAAACAGTCTGAGGATCAAGCCAACTAACACAGGAGAAACCATTATTCCCAGTAGTTACAAGAGGAAAAGAATAATGTGAAGGATAAGGACCTAGAGCTAAGAGTGGAGAAATGGATGGGTACATTTGCTGTAACAAGAATTTGTTTAATTTCACCCACCTTCCCTCATCAATTGCAGCTTAAGCTCTAACTCTGAAGAGGCAAATAATTACAGTTTAGGAAAACACCATGAAAAAATAAGATACAGGCTGACTTTTATTCCTCCTGTTATATCCTTGCTAGCTTCTGGTAATTAGTGGCTATCAAGATGGAGACCACAGTGAAACCTTCATGTTTAATCCCCTCTCAGGTACTTCTGTACTATTAAGTTATTTGATTTTCTTAATGAAACATATTGTAGTTTGGCGTTTACCACATCCTGTGGCAATGAGCTGGCTTATTTAATTATGCTTTATGTGAAGGAAAAACATTTTGTGTAACTTACTTTAAGTCCAATTTAATGTGGCATTTACTAGTGTTTGCATTAGAGAAAGACAGCTTGCCCGTTACCATTACTGTTTTCATTAAAGAACTTTCATATTGCCTTTAATTGTTTTGTTTTCAAACTGAAGATTCATTGCACTGTACACTCTGAACATGTATTTCTGTGAATTCTACATCCTGGATTTGAGATGGGGTGGGCAGAACTGTGCCATTCTCAAAATGGGGTACCATCATTTATATAATAGTGTAATGGTATCAGTACAATATTCTGTTTTCTGCTATCTTCTGAAGGATTTCTAAAAATTCATTGCTATTTCCACTGTGAACAGGCAGTAAGTTTATGCTTTTGGAGATTATTTAGTTATTACTAATTAAGGTAAGTCCAGCTCAGTAGTAGGTGTGACTAGAGTTGTGTAGTAGGTGGGATTGGAAAACTGCGCTTCCTGTCAGTATTACTCTGCGCTCTTTAATACAGAATATAAACTTGTGTTCCCCCACCTCACTCAGTACTATGAAATTCTTTTGCAATACTTCATCAGTTTTAACTACCCTAAATTCATTGTTACATAGACAAATTCCTTTATCAGCTATCAATGTAAGCTCCATGAGAGATTCCTCTAGGCCTATACCACTGCCTGTAAAAACTGGTTCTTTTTACTATTTTGTTTCCTCTTTTACCCAGCTATTAGTCCAGACAGCTTCTGTCTTATTCAGCTCTGTGTCATTAAGAGCACTTAGCAGTAAAACCTGTGAAAATTCAAGTGCACAACTAGAATTGGATCAGTCTTGGGAGGTGCCCATGATCCAAATAATCTGAATTCTGACAAGGGGTAAAGATAATTAAACAAGTAGCTTCCTAACTGGTCAATGTTAATCACTTGATGAGGCTGATGGGGGGGAGAATCACTTCATAGGATGGTCTTAGGTTATAAAGTAACCAACTTTAGGGACTGGTAAACAAGAAAAGGACATCGGAGAGACTCTGATACTCTATGAGAAAGAACAGATTTCTTGAATTCTTGAGATAAGAGGAAGATTAACATGAAGTGCAACAATATATTCAGGTATTTTATTCCTATGTGTAAGTGTATATTAGATAAAAATAGCGCTTCATGTTCAGCCTTCTCTAGGTCTGTGTGCTTCTATCATTGCTGGTTACTGCAGAGTTGAATTCTAACCACCCTCCACAAACAGTCCCAGCTAAAATAATGTCTAAGCAACTGTGTTGGCTGCACTGTGGTAACCTGTGATCATAAAATAAAGACAGGGAAACCCAATTCCAGGAAGAATGCTGCAAGAAGCTCAAGGAAAGGACAGTACTATGGAACCTAATCAGCACATTGGCCTGAATAGCTGGGCACAGGCCTAAGGAATCCATTATGGAGATTCCCACTGAGCCCTCTCTGTAACAGGGCCTGCTTAATACCTGTGCCTGCTTCCTTGTGAACACCCTAACTGTTCTGAGAGCCTGACACTGCTGGAATGCTCTGAAATAGCTTATTTACCACAATAAGGAGACATTCAGAGTGTTTAAAACAGTCAATATCACATTCAAAAATCAATCCAGAGGATTTTTATTTAATCATTAAAGTTACAGAAACAGTCTTCAATACTCCAATACATGCCCTTGGTCCCTGATTACAAGGCACCAGAAATAACTCTTCTTGAGCTGCCTTAAATTGATTTGGTAGAAGTTTCCAATGCAAGCCAAAGCAATTTCTTTTTGGTTCAGGAAGAAAACTATAAAAAAGTTATCTGATGATCTGTTATGGGAGACTTGGTAACAGAAGATGTGCACAGAATTACATGAGGTTAGAAACCAAGCTATTTCTGTGTTGGCATGCTTGTTGACATAACCTGTTAGATTAAAAGGAGAGGGTTCAGGCACTTCCAGCTACTGCAGCGAATCTCTGACTTCATGCTCACTTTAGCATTGTAAGGAGCTACACAAACTCACTTTTATTACATCAGAGCCAAAAAGACCGATGTGTGTCATGCCTTTAGCCTTGCTGGCAAATGCTGCAATCCCTTCCCTGTTCTGTTTCTAGGACAGACATAAACACTCTATTTGGAGTGGGAAAATATCTGGAGGATTCGAATTCAAGCACTGTAGCTGAAACATTACCTTGTTTCAGCCACTTGCTTAGATCCACAGCACTGGTCTGAGGAAAGGCTTTTGCCTCCAAAGGCAGAGTCTGTGCAAAGACTGAAGCTCGTATTTTTGAAGCTTAGCATTCTGTACTTCTATTTCCCCAGTGAAATGAATCAAATTTATGCACTTATTCAACATATGTAACCATCCAAATACTTTCCTATAGAGGTGGAAAGGAAGATAAAAATTCACTTTTCCACATAATCAATCATAGGTGACCTGATCTTCCTCTAGGACTATGTAAAGAGGGAAAAACCTTCTTTTCCTTTTCCTTTAGGTTGAGGACTATAGCATTTTCCCTGTAATTTTTACAGAAACTCCTTTTTTCTCTCCCCAGGAAAACCCATTTCTAACAGTCATGAAGCAAGAATAAACGTACTAACCATGGAAGGAAACTTACCTGCTCCCATTTCATTTCCAACTCTTGGAATAATATCATCATCTTGACAGTCTGGTAAGGCTCCTTTCTTTAGTTTTTCTTCAACTTTGCTAATTGTTTTTGTTAAAGAAAAACCTATGCAATCTTCCAGTACTGCAACACCATCAGCACTTTGTACTTCCATGTTTCTTATTTTTGAACTAAAAAAAAATGAAAACCCTAGATTTTAAATTTATAATACATTATATTTTTGTTAAATATTTTTAGTATTTGCTATTTTTATGACTGTACAGTTATTTACCTGCATTTACTGCAATTTCATTACCTGCATTCATATGAAAGATGCATCAATGGCAATTTCTCATTTGCTTTCTGTATGATACCTTTACCATATTCCACAAAAATAATGACAAGATTTTACATACTATAATGTAGAAGGCAGAGAAACCACTACCATTTTCAACTGAAAAGATTCTGGCATGGTCTTCTCATCTAACAAATCCATAACTAAATCAGAGTAACGCACAGAAAGAGAAGAATGTTCTATTGGCTTTGGCTACTGTCATGGGGAGATCCTTTATCCTCTGTCGTAATTTCTGCTCTTTCCACTCCCTGCCACATTATTTTGTAGAACTGTGTTGCTCCTGGCTGTATGACCTTATGACAGTTTCTGCATCATTATTCAGCCTAGGAAACTTCACTGATCCTAGAAGTTGCATATCAACATTTTCATAAAACCAAAATACAGGGGAACACATCACCTAGACAGGGTATCTCCTCAGCTTTCTCCTATAGAAAGGTGATCTCAGTTCTCACGGGATCTGACGCTAAGTTCTTATTCCAACATATCCTCATTCCAGCCTCCAAACTCCTCCTAGCTAACTCTCCCACAACTTTTCGATTGCCCCACAGGCTCTGTATCAGCACAATTCCACTTCCAAACCTCATGACGGGGTGCCAGCATGACAACCTCCCCTGAACTGCCCAAGGGAGGTCTGAAGGGTCTCCCCACGGATTTCCAACTCCTGTAAGACAGCCTCAGCCTGTCAGTTCCATGTCCTGCCACCTTGCAGACAATTTTCATCCTATTTTGGTATTATGCCATAATTTAGGGCAGTTTTAATTTGCTCCCAGGCTCTTAGGGATTTTTTGACTCTTCTCTCATTGTCCAGATCTCCATTATTTGGTTTTACAACCTTGAATTTGCTACCTCCAGAGCTGAAGCTTCTCAGCTGGGAGCCCCTGGAAGCTGTGTTATATTACTGAGCCCCTTGTCCTGTGAGCCCAACATTCACTACAACAGCGGAGGCCCTTCAAGGCCTGATGTTCCCCAGCACCAGCCTGATCACAAATCAGGCTGTAGCACTCCAGTGTGCTGGCCCACGTTGCCTCAGGTGCTCCATTTTTGCTCACTGGGCCTCCTTTCACTGAAGGAATTTACAGAATTCAGCTGTCAGCCTTGAGAAGTGCTAAAGCAGAAAGCAACTGTTTCATTGCTGCAATATTAATCACATATGTTCACTGATAATTTTTGGTGCAAGTGAACAGAGATAGCCACCTGGTGGAGCTGATTGAGGACGTTTGATACATTTACTTGTATAAATATAAAAGCATACATCCATAAAATAACTTGATAGACAAAAATAACAACTAAAAGATTTCATGACAAACCAAATTACATGTTTGATATACCTTGAAGTTGTTCTTTTTCCCTTACTTGCAGAGTATGGTCTGTTCTGAGCTGTGGGCACAGAAGGAAATTTCTTCTTGTTTTCTACCTAAAAGTTTTTTTCACAAATTAGTGGATTATTATTATTATTGAAATACTTTTTGTCTCATTTTTTCATGGATTTTTTTCTTCTTCATATATCTATACTCAAGGAAGTTTTCAAAGAATACTTTTCAAATTTTCAAAATGACTTCTCCGTTTTATTTGCAGTCATCTTTAGCTTGCAACTTTTATGTCTCTACACCCTAACTCTAATACACCCTATAGTCATTGGCTCGTGGGAGTTTTTCCACACATAATAAATCTATGCATAAGCAAGGCTCTGAGCTTTTATCAAGGTATTAATTACTGGACTGTTATCATACCTTCAAAAATATGGTATTTTATGCATTATTTTAATCTTATAAGGTCCCCATTGAAGGAAGATTGAACAATGTTTCTGTTACTTTCACACAAATATTCTTTAAAAAGTAGAGCGTTTTCTACTGTATTCTGATAAATAACTGCAGATGGTATTTTAGAAGCTTCAGCTCACCTCATGAAAGTTTCGATATAGTTGTAGTTAGAGACTATTGAGATTGCTCTTAATATAATTTTTCAATTATATTTTCTAAATTCAGTTAGTCTGACTACTTGTTTATTATCTAGACAGTTATTATTAGAAGAAGGTAGTACTGCATTTAGTATTATACAGGCGAGGGAGGGAAGAGAGCAAGAAACTAATTATGTTCTAATATTTTTCACTTGGAACTCTTAATGTTATGTTCAAAACACTAAACATTTCTCTCAATGCTGAAGAGAAAACAGAATACAAAAATTAAACATTATGTAAGTCCACCTGACCACCAGTGGCACTGAGAAGCTCTGGTAACACTGTCCCTGTAGCATTGCTTTGGGCATCACTTCCCTTTGGCTTGGCACCCGTGCAAGTCCTCAAAAACACAAGTCATTATATTTTTGAAATTATGCTAGAAAGTAATTCAACCAGGAAAGTTTTGGTACCTTTGCAAGTGAGTGTGTAAGAGATGAAACTTTGGGACAGAGTGGATCTCTGCAATTAAAAAAAAAAAAAAAAAAAAAAAAAAAAAAAAAAAAAAAAGGTAAAAATTTACTGATCTCTAATAATGTAAACACTTTGCAGTTCAAATACAACCCCCCCCTTGTCAGAATCAGGAGAATAACATTTTATAGGTCTAGAATAACAATATAGCTAAGGTGAGAACATATACTGAGTTCAAGCATAAATTCAGTGTTATTCACAGTCTGTCCAGTCTACCTCATTTGCAACACAAATCACCTGGTGAGTCTATGGTATCTAATACAACAGTACTCATCCATCAAAATCCTAATCTTGTCTTGGAATTCAGGCTGGAATCCTGATCTTGTCTCTTGGAATTTGGTTTTTTAGATCAGTAATGCCCTTTAGCAGGGAGTACTCGGCCAAGAAGCAGAGTTAGAGCTTCCCCAGGACAATCCAGAACCAAAGACTGCCAGCAGCTCACTGGGTAATACCTACATGGCATAAAACCCCTGAACTCATACAAACAAAGTGAGGATACAACCAGTGTCCTCTACATCCTCCACCTGTCCTAGCAGGGTCAGTCTGACTGTTCTCAGGTCAGTTGACAGGGACTGTCAGAGGAATATGAGGTGGACCAATTTATAAATTAAGGCCCACAGAATTTTCTCTGAAATAAGTATTATAAATATGGTATCTATTTTACAGACAGGGAATAAAACCAAGAATTAAAAAAAATCAGCTTTCTTATCTGCTTATTTGGCTGAAAACTATGCTTCTAAGTAAGTGAATTTCAGGTTAAATTATAATTTTTCAAGTCTATGGAAATTAAGCCTAAAGTGTTAGCATGCTGTGTACTATTCAGGTCAAATTCCTTGTCAGACAGATATACAGATATGTAGATATAATTCTGCTTTCAAAATGACTTATGTGAATGTATATTATTGCAATGAACAGCTATTTTTTAACTACTCTTTATAATTTTTTTACTTCAATTAAAACACTGGCTTATAAAAGATTTTGAATAAAATTTAAATTTCTGGCTCATCGAGTCACTTAATTTTTTTGCCAGGCTGATTTGAGCAAACATTTAGATCTTGCCTTTAAAAATTTCATAGACATTCATCAACAAGAATTATCTGCACAAAGCTTCATATTTTATTAATCCAAAAAAACCCCAACAACAACAAAAAACCAACACAAAAAAACAACCTGGAGAAATCATCTGTGTGCGGCTGGCAACAGACTTCAAGAATAGGATGATTAGTTTTTGTCTATTTACCCTAGTTTCATCAAGCTTTCTCCCTATTGGCTAGCTCTAGGAGCATGCAGAAGGTGAGGATTTGCTGCCACAGAAATAGCAGTTGTATGTGATGCTGAAAAACATTAAAATGCAACACACTCTATACTCAAGAAAACAATTATATTCTTTCCCTTAATAGAGTAATTTGTTCCTACTGTATCTGTTGTCTTAGGGCTGCCTTAAAAAACAAACAAAAAAAAACCAGTTGCTTTAGTGTTCATTCTCGCTAAAGGAATCAGCAGAAATTTTAACGAGATATTTCAAAAATATCTCAAGTGCTTCCTTCAGATTTAAGGCCTGTTTGCTTGCACAATTTAGAAAAGAATTTTTTAATTACATATGGAATACTTCAAACTAATCTAATTGAATGGCCTCGATGTTCACTCATGGATAATCAGTGTGCCTAATTCCTAGCACACATTTCTAATTTTTTTCGCTACCACATGGGATTTCCAGTCTTCTCTCATGTAAATGTTTACCAGAACACTGTTTACCAGACTGTGGTTGTTTTAAGGTTTTTTAATTTATGTTGGTAATTGGTAGGTCAGCTGATACTCTTTGACATGCTAATTGCTCTTTTTATTTTTTTTTTAATTCTTCCAACACTTCAATTTATTTCTAACGTGTACCATCAAAGCTAATAATTCTCTTTGTGGGGCTCAATCTTCCAATCACATTACTTAATACAGCAGCCCTAAAACTCAACTCCAGTTTGAAGTTCTTAAAAACTCTCTGTCTAATGTTCAAAATCCATCTAACAGAACAGAAAACTAAAGTGAGATCCAGAATTTATTTTAAAAGCATGATTGTACTGACTGATAACACATTAAATTTCTTGCCCCTCACTCCTTCAGCTATGGCTTTAAAATAGGTCAGGAATCATTTCAATTGTAGTAGCAAACTTTTGCTGGTAGTTAGGCTTCTATCATAGAAGCTGACTTACTGTCACACCTTTTTGTGTACTGAAAACCCCTTTTACTTTCAGAAAAACTCTATGACTTTGCTTGTATTCTACACAAAAGTAATTATTTGATCATCTTTATCAGACCTTCATATACTCTACTTGAAAAGTTTCCCAACTGTAGCTTAACATTTGAAGTATTTTGTTGTCTGTTCCTGTATCTTGCTTATCCAGATTAGTGGCATCATAAATTTAGGAACCTACAGATCAGATCCTTGATAAACTGTGTTAGTCTATCTTAAATTCAGCCATTTCCCACACTACAATACACAAACCCGCGAACAACTAAGGAAATAATGGCCCTGAATGACTAAGGGAATACAGCCATGTCCCCCCATCAGGAGCTGAGGGGTTTGGACACTCAGGCTGTGATCACCCAGGCCAAAGGCGTGCGGGGCCCAGCACTGTAATGGTATCCACATTCCAGAGGGTGGCAGCTCAATGTTTGCCTGTTTTAGGGCTTTGTGATTGTTTTCCTCAGGCATTTCCTGTCCCAGGAACGTTTAGGCCAAGTTAAATGTGAACTAGTGTCTTTGTCAGCTCAACTGTTAAAAACCATACACTGCCTACTGTTTGGTATTGCAAAGAAACCCGTGACCTTACCTTGCTCTTTTACAAAGGTCAACACTTCTTAATATCTTAGATAGAACATTCCAGCAAAATTAAGCCTTCCTTGAAATAACAAGGAACAACACTTGCTTAGGCTCACTTTTTTTAATAATAGGAAAAAAATTAGACTCCACCAATGCAGTACAGAGGAAAAATAGATAAAACAGGAGCATGATTAGGACACAAGGCATGCAGCATCAGTGTGAGGTTCCCCACCAATTATACACAGCAGTTGTAAAGTACATACCTCTGTCTGTCATCTTCAGGTGACTTACTCTGTACTGAAACTGGCTGAGATAGTATCTTCTGTTGGCCTTTCTTCATTAAAAAAAGAAAAGAAAATTAGTTGATTTGGGGAGACTATGATCCATTAAAGATGAATTACCTATTTGTAAATCACAAATCACAGTAACTACAGTCTACTATGGAAAATGGAAACTATAGCCTACTGTGGAAAAGAACTTTTGAAACACAGGAAAAGATGTCTAAAAATGAAAATGCCATTGCTGTTTTGTTGTTAAATGTATATCTGTGCAATCTGGCAGTGCCATGTGGTATATTAAGTACCCTAAGAATATTTCATCTTCTGCTATATTTAGAGAAGAAAAGAACAGGGGTATTGTTGTTGCTGTTTTCTAAAGGAAAGAGACTAGATGCTATTTTGGCTGTTTCATCTGCTCCTGTTCAAATGCCAAGCATTTAGCCTCAGCTTGTCACTGCTCAAGAGAAGAATATGTTTTCACAGCCCATAAAATTGAAGTTTCAACAGTAGGAAAAGTGCAGCTTTCTAGAATACTTAGTAATTTGCCTTGTTTATTTGAATGAGTGTACTTACAATGAATATTTATAATATGCAGAACAACTTCTCCAAACTGTTTTGAGTACAACCATACCTGCTCCATTCCCTTTTTATTCATTTGTCCAACTTTCATATAAAGTCTTGACTCTATCTGCTACACAGCCACACCAATGTTAAAGGATAATACTGATAATAAACACCAACTTTTTCTGTTTTGAGAAAGCTTCCTGCTTATTAAGTTCATGTTTTCTATTTATGTTGCTTATTCTTTGTATCTCAGCTTGAACAATGTAGATCATATTTCACTAGGAGGTTACTGTAACAGTATCTGGTTTTCAAACACTAATTTTAAGTATTTAAGGCATAAATACTAAGGCATAAAACCACCTACAGATACTTTTCTTAAACACTAAACAAATTTTTAATGTGGTTTTAGGTATGTATCTGCACAAGTGCTGTAGGCAGGTCTGTGAATACCTACTGGATGAAGTTACATAGAAACTATTGTTTAATGTATTTTTAATACAAATTTACAGCTTTGAAAAGAAATAAAGCTTACCTTGCACTTGAAAGCAACATACTTTTAGTAGTCAAGGTCTAAATTTCTTTTGAAGCTTAGCCCTGTGTGCATGTGAATCCAGACTAAATTACCTAATAGTCTGCTACTCACCATTAGTTCTTCAGCCTGACGCACCAGTTTTTCTGTTTTGGCTTGTAATTCTGCATTCAGTCGCCTAAAAGAGTAGGAATTTTTTTTGAGTGTTTGAAAAATTTTAAAGGAATAAATGTCAGCGCGACAGTATTTTTGTCTGAACTAAGTGAAATTTTAATTATTCCTACAAAGGGATGCTGAAATACACTTCAAGGTATTAAAAAGTTATGTTTCAACAATTTCCTATGTTCCAGCCAAATGAATAGTAATAGAACACATATGCCCATTAAACAGCAGACTGTAACTGTGAGAGGTGAAGGATACCTTTGGTTTTGGATGTGCCATTTCTTAATATACATTGTATGTCTTTATTTCCTAAAGGTTTTCCGTGTTTAACACAGTCCTTCTTTTCAGTATACCCAACAGTGGGGGTTGGGGAAGGACTCATGTAGGACTACATTTCTTATCACGTATTTAAAGATGTGTTGCTATATGGATGTGCAGGTTATGGCAGTGAGGTGTTCCTGCATGTTCTCGTACAGCCCTGGTGCTGCGACTGCCAGAGTCTGACGTGGCTCTCCGTGCACCCTCACCGTTCACCGG